TAGACAAATTATATAAAAAAACACAAAAACTATCTTTAAATTATTAATTTTTTTACTCTATTAAAATTTATAATATTATATGTATATATTTATTTAATAACATATAAAAATTATATACAAAAATTATCTCTATATTATTTCCATTTATTTTTAATTTTTTTAGCTAAGTTCATTAAAAAAAAATTTCATGGCATCTCTAGTCTCATTCTCATCTAAACATGCTATATATATGTTTAATTATGTTTATTTTTTAAAATCGTTTCTAGAATATAAGTACGAGTGGCCGGAATTGGTTGGAAAGAAATGGTCAGAAGCCGAAGTAACGATTCAAAAGGACAATCCATACGTGACCTGCAAAATCATTGATGATAACATGAAGGGGTTCCATGATTTCTGTAGTAATAATTGTGTTTTTATGTATAGTTTTGTAGACCTCTTTTGTAATTATGTCAAGAAAAAGTGTATTAATGCTTACCAAAAAAAAAGTGTATTAACAATTAAATTCCAAAATGATAGACTTGTTGTAAATTATAAGAGAAAAAGATAAAAACTATAGAAATTAAAAAAAGTAACACCAACAAGAGGGAAAATAACTTGTAACTTCTTCTCTCTCCCATCTCTGTCTCTCTCTTTTATTATTGGTTAAATGCTAAATTTAATCCTTCAACTTTATGAAATGCACATTTTTTGTCCCTCAACAATTTTTTGCACTTTTTTTATCTCTCAACTATACGAAATGCACTCCGTTAGTCCTTTCGTCAATTTGGGCCATTAACTCCGTCGTGTGGTAGTTTTTATATTTTTTTTATGACATGGAGAGCACAACTTAAAAAGGTGCTGACGTGGACAAAACATAATGCCAAAACATAATGCCATGTCATATTTAAAGGCTTTAAAGTCTCTCAAATGGGTCCCATATTACTTGCAAAAAAAAAAAAAAAAACTCTATAATGCTCTCTCATCTCCACTTCATCTGCAAAATCGATCTTAACCCATTCATTCTTCTTCTTTTAATGCTCTCTCATCTCCACTCCATCAAATTAATTCCTTAATAAACAATATCAATCAAACCCTAATCAAATTCTAACAAAAATACAATCAAATTGTAAATCAACAAAGTTGGATTTCGTTAATACCCAGCATGGCTGTGCTGGGTTCGTTGATACCCAGCACAACTATGTTGCACCTCATAGCAAACCACATACAAGAGCTACCACTTGCTGAATCCAAGGCAAAACATCTCCCAATTGATCCTGCCCCTAGAATAATAATAGTAATAATAACAAAAAAATTAGTAATTTAAATTATACCAATCAAAGTCCAATTCACACATGATTATCTACCAAAAGCTAATTTTGACACAAAATCAGTGAACCTATTAGTGGATTATCGTGGAAAAGAGCATGAATTTAAGTATCAAAAGCAACCATTCTACGGCAACTATTAACGTATCCAAAAATAGGTTGAAAATGAAACCCATTACCAAAGCCTGGAACACAGTCAAACAAAAGGAATCAATCAAAGAAGAGAATCCCATGATGAGGAAGTTCAAAATCAACGAACCTTGTCCCAGGAAGCCTTTGGATCTAACAACTTGGCAAAAATGATAAAAAATCTATGATGGGTTCGTCGATACCCAACACGGCTGTGCTGGTTCGTCAATACCCAGCCCAGCAGCTGGGTTCAATAGAACCCAGTCAATTTGGGTTCCATCAAACCCAGCTATTGGGTTCTATCTAGGTTCGGTGGGTAGGAAAGAAAGAAAGAAAGAAAGGGAAGAAAGAGGGTAGTTGGGTTTCGACCGAACCCAACAGTTGGGTTCAACGGAACCCAGTCGTTCTAGGTTCCATCGAACCCAACTGCTGGGTTCTATTTGGGTTTGATGGGTAGGAAAGAAAGAAAGAGAAAGAGAAAGAAAGAAGGGGAAGAAAGAGAGCAGCTAGGTTTTGACCGAACCCAATAGATGGGTTCAACGGAACCTAGTTGATCTGGGTTCCATCGAACCTAGTTGGTGGGTTCTATTTGGGTTCAGTGGGTAGGAAAGAAAGAAAGAAGGGGAAGAATGAGGGTAATAAGGTAATTTTGTTTGTTTTTATTTTTTTAATTAAAATACAAATATTAATTTGATGTGGCATTTTTATTTATTTATGTAATATAATTATAATATATGATATTGCCACATCATCAAAAGAATTAAAAGAAAATGTCACATGATATTATTTAACAACCACGTTATGCTTAACTGATGGAACAACTAACGTTGTGCATTTCTTATAGTTGAGGGATCAAAAAAATGTAAAAAATTGTTAAGGGACCAAAATGTGCAACTCTATAAAGTTGAGCGACCAAATTTAGCATTTAACCTTTTTTATTTATCTAGGATTAAATCTAAGTTAAATACTAATTTTGGTCCCTCAACTTTATAAAGTTGCACTTTTTTGGTACCTAAACTATTTTTTATATTTTTTGATCCCACAACTCTAAGAGTTACACAATTTTGATCATTTCGTCAATTTGAACCGTTAATTCTATCCACGTGGCATTTTTCATATTTTTTTTATGATATGGAGAAAACAACTTAAAAAGGTGCTAATATGGACAAAATATGATTCCATATCATATTTTCACGAATTAAACATGTCAAAACCCCTTAAATGGGTCTCACATTATTTGCAAAGAACCAATAAAGGGGTAAAATGTCTGTGAATCCTAACGCTCTCTTATCTCCAGTCCATTTGCAAAATCGATCTTAACTCATATCTTCTTCTCTGAATGTTCTCTCATCTTCACTCCATCAAATTAACTCTTCAATAAACAATGTCAATCAAATTCCAACATAAATGCAATCAAATTGTAAATCAACTCTCAAATTTATCAAGAATTGGGAATGGAAATCGAAAGAAGAATGGGAAAACATGGTGAACCTAACAAATCCAACTCTAAAGAAAAATGAAAATGAACCTAGTTCTAAACCCAGCAGCTGGGTTTCTTTGAACCTAGCAGCTGGGTTTCTTTGAACTCAGCAAAGTTGGGTTTTGTCAAACCCATTCGATCTGGGTTCCATCGAACCTAGCTGCTAGGTTCGATGGAACCCAATAGAGTTGGGTTTTGTCAAACCAGCAAAGCTAGGTTCGATGGAATCCAACCGATCTGGGTTCCACCAAACCCAACAGTTGAGTTCCATGGAACCCAGCATATCTAATTAATATTACGCTGTTAACGAACACTAGTAGTTGTAAACAAACATTCTAAGTAATTTTTTAGAGTTTCAACTAGATTACAATTGTTGTTTTAGTAAACACTAACCAGAAGCCGAATTAAAGCTGAAACAAATAGTTTGATGGAAATTTTCTCCCAAATAAATTACCTTGTTCAACGAAAAATAAAAATAAAAATTGAGAAAGTGTAGAGAAAGCAGTGAGACCCGAAGGATTGCAAGAAGACGAGAAGGCCGGAGAGGCCCATGGAATCAGAAGGGTGGTGGAGGAGGAATCTAGTGCGGTGGCTCAGATTGGAAGAGTCGATGGGATTGACGATGGTTCTTGAGACCAGTGGAGGTAGGTGAGAGGCATCGAGTGGATCATCGAAGATGTCTTCGTACACGAGGAGGTCGGTCGAATCCAGTTGTAGTAGGGCTCCATGTGGAACGATGGCTTGCAGAGCCCATCACCAATTGCTAGTGTTTGATGGGACAATAATGTAATTTTGTTTTTTTATTTATTTTTATTAAAATACAAATATTTAACTTACGTGACATTTTTATTTTTCCATTTAAATAATTATAAAATATGTTAGTAACACGTCATAATTAAAAAAAATGCCACATTAAATTATTTATCAGACACATCATACTTAACTGACAGAAGAGTTAAAATTATGCAATCTTTAGAGTTTAGGATCCCAAAAATATAAAAAATAGTTGAAGGATAAAAAAAATGCAACTCTATAAAATGGATGGACCAAAATTAATATTTAACTTTAAATCTATGTACGTTTTTTAGTTCCTTCTTGTATACTAGATTAGTTTTTATTAAGAGTTGTTTTATATTGTTATTTATATCCATTACTATTACTCTAAACAATGAAATCTATGACATGAACTTTTAAAAATTTCTTTCTAAATATATGCCATCGTTATTTTAATAGAAATATAATTAAGGAGGCTAATTTTTTCTATTCAATCATGTGGGGTAGTATGCGCAAAAGTCCAAATTAAGTTAGTGCTACGTTTAAAAAAGTGCTCAAAAAAGCCTTTTTGCAAGGAGGATAAATATGTTGGAATTGGGTGCAATTTGTGTTCTTTGAGTTTTAAATATTTAGTTTAATTTATTATTTAAGTTGCTAAGCTTGTGGAGCTCGGTTTTGCAAGAGAGGCAGTAATACAAGCACTTCGATTATTTGATGGCAACGAAGAGCAGGCTGCGGGATTTCTCTTTGGAGGCCGAAGAAAAAGAAAACTTGCATATTTACATTCTCTCAGACTGTTCTTAGGTTTGTTGAACAGACCCTGCAAACTGAAAATTTTGTATTACATGTCTGAAAACCATTTTGATTCAAACTATTTATAGGTCATAGTCACTGACATGGCCTTGCAATTCAAACAACAGTTCCTTAATTTGCTAAGCTTTGATGTAATATTTTCCATTTGACAGAACGATATTTGACAGTGGAAATGAGTGCTGTGGATTTGATTTGTCATTTGCCTAATAACAATATAATTTGTCATTTGCCTAATAACAATATAATTTTTACCTGGAACTTGGAAGGAAACTAAGGCCCCATTTCCATCTAAATCTCTGCATTAGTTTTGAGTCATAACATTGAAGGTACCCTTTTGTGACTCTGACACATGACACCCGCCCTTGGTACT